GGGGGGGGGGGGGGGATAAAGGGTAAGGTTTTTATGTGAGATTTTTGTTTAGGAAAAGGAAGTGACTGAGTATTGAAAGGTGCATTGTGAGTGAGGAAGAAGTAGTGAGGGGAAAGTCACACATATAAATTGGAACCATCAGTCCATGTGAACTTTAGCTAGAAGTAAAAAGAAGGTTATCTTATTCATCTTTATGATAGTGTAACAGCTAGGTGACTTAACTTATTGATGACAGTCTATTTAGGGTCACCCATTTTTCTTTTCCTTTTATTCTTTTCTTTTCAAGGGTGAGTTATAAATATTTGCCTTGAAGTTTGAGTTTAGGAAAGTTTTGCTCCTGGTAATGTGTTTCAGTGGGTTAAAGCGACATCCTTTCACTAGAAAGAGTTCAGCTAGAGACACGGTAAGCATTACTCTTTTTCTTCTTTGGAAATATGGAATTAAATTTTAGGAGTACTATTTCAAGGTTTAGGAGTATTTCTTTTAAATAATAAAATAGTTATATAATTATTTTTCATATTTAAAATTTTAATATCAATTATATTTTTGTTACTAAATCATTGCTTAGGAGTAAGAACAAATATCTAGCAATCACAAACGTAGCAATCTCAAAAGTTCATCAACTCCAAAATTTTCTAAAATTCAAATATCAAGCTTAACTAAGAAAATATTTTAATTCTAAGAATATAAAAGAAAGAGAAGTGTTGGTAAGATTAATAACACTAATGGTTGTGCTGACATAAAATCCAAAAGTGATATGCCATAGCGATTTTTTTATTACTTTGAACATAAAATTCTTATTGGATAAAAAATATAATTAAACTTAATTATTTAAAACTTGGGATGAGCTAATATTAAGATTTCAATCAACAAATTGAATTACTCTCTTCAACGTTAAGAATAAATAATTAAGTCCTTAACTAATTAACCAAAAAAGTCATTGATTTAACTAATTTGCGAAAACTTCAAGCCATTCTTTTCGAAATGCATCATATAATTCGGTTATTTATAAAGTATTGAGAGTCAAATTGTTAAAAATGCAAATGTTAAACAATAAGGATGAAACACTACAAGACAAACTCTCTATACTTTTCTAAGTACGAAGTTACATACTATAAAATATTAACTTAATGTAGGCATTTTAAAACTTAGCATTTGATAACTTGATTTATATTTCTTCCCGTAAACATACTTCATTGATTGTCGTTAAGCATACGTGCAACGCACACATACTAAATCTAGTAATCTTAAATAAGAATATAAAAATAGTTACTTAATATTCTATCTGCTCCTGTTAAGTTCTTGACGCACGTCAAATAAATCTGACAGAAAAACGGTGTCGTGAGAAATCAAATGAAAACAGTAAGGCACCCAAATTCTCCTTCTTTCTTCATATCAAAGTGTTGAACTGGGCAGTATTGCTTTTGATGATCGATAAAGTAACACATGTATGAATCAGGTCCATGGATATTGTATACAAGTTACTGTCAGAATCAAGAAAAGGCATGCACGTGAAAGGGATAAGTGTATATGGTTATTTCTAATAATCCCTGAACGAAAGATTGCATATTTGATAAGGAGCAGGACTCCTTACTTGAAGAGAACTCTATCCAAAATAAGGAAAGAGTTATAAATTAAAGATTACTAGAAGTCTTCCATCAAGTATGAGTAAAGCATCAGATCTCTAGTTATTCCTTATTTTACTAATTCTATAAATATCAGTTTATTCTCTTTTACATGTGACCCACACATACCGAAGTAAAGCAAGAATTGAGAGCAAAATAGCAAGTCATTTTGTGAGCAATTCCTATGAGATAAGAGTGCGAACCTGAAGCTATATGAACCATATTGAAGAACCATTTCCATGTGTCTATGTTTAATTCTAGTTCAATTGTAGTAGGACCTTTTGAGTTGTATCTTTCAACTTTTCTTAGAAGCATTTGTACTAGGTACTTGAGTTGTAGTGTTCAAGTTAGAGTTAACTTGAAGCAGCCGCAACAGCCTGTGGCATGTTACTACAAGGGTTAGAGTTAAATCCTTAAGTTTGCAATAGGTTGTAGACTTTGTTGTTGGCTCAGAGTTGTAGTGAAGTGTTTGAAAAATCATACTGGGAAGTAGGCCGTGATTTTTTCACCTTTTGAGCCGGGTATTTTCCACGTAAAAATACTTGTGTTCTTTATTTTCTACATTACTTATTCAGTATATGTAATTTAAGGAACGCATAGAAGAACCATGTCCTTCTATAATTTGTTACACGCGGAAATTAGGCACCACACAAATTACCCACTCTCTTGTATGGTATTGAAGTATAAAACATCAATTGGTATCAGAGCGGGTTATCCTTGAAGAGGTTACACCTTAGAAAAAGATCAAGATAAGTGCACCACCTGAAAATTAGGAAGAGCAATCCATTGCTAGGCCACCATTCTTCAATGGCCAGTACTTGAGTTGTAGTGTACTAAGTACCTAAGTTGTAGTGTTCAAGTTAGAGTTAACTTGAAGAAGTCGCAACAGCCTGCGGCATGTTGCTACAAGGGTTAGAGTTAATCCTTAGGTTTGCAATAGGTTGTAGACTTTGTTGTTGGCTTAGAGTTGTAGTGAAGTGTTTGAAAAATCCTACTGGGAAGTAGGTCGTGATTTTTTCACCTTTTGAGCCGGGTGTTTTCCACGTAAAAATACTTGTGTTCTTTATTTTCTATATCACTTATTCAGTATCCGTAATTTAAAGAACGCATAGAAGAACTATGTCCTTCTATAATTTGGTACACGCGAAAATTAGGCACCTCACAAATTACCCCCTTTCTTGTGAAGTATTGAAGTATAAAATATCAATCGGTATCAGAGCGGGTTATCCTTGAAGAGGCTACACTTTAGAAAAAGATCAAGATAAGTGCACCACCTGAAAATTAGGAAGAGCAATCCATTGCTAGGCCACCATTCTTCAATGGCCAGTACTTGAGTTGTAATGTACTAGGTACTTGAGTTGTAGTGTTCAAGTTAGAGTTAACTTGAAGAAGTCGCAACAGCCTGCGGCGTGTTGCTACAAGGGTTAGTATTAATCCTTAGGTTTGCAATAGGTTGTAGACTTTGTTGTTGGCTCAGAGTTGTAGTGAAGTGTTTGAAAAATCCTACTGGGAAGTAGGTCGTGATTTTTTTACCTTTTGAGACGCGTATTTTCCACATAAAAATACTTGTGTTCGTTATTTTTTACATTACTTATTCAGTATCTGTAATTTAAGGAACGCATAGAAGAACCATGTACTTCTATAATTTGGTAAGTACTACTCATGGTTAAAAGTAAGTATGAGAGATAATTTTCAAGCAAAAGATTATGAGTTATGGGATATAATAATTGATGGCCCACTGTCAAACTCAAGAGACTGTAACGACCCGGCCGGTCGTTTTTAGTGTTGTAGCCTCGTTCCCCTATTTACTTCTTATTCTATGCTCAATTATTGTTATGTCACTTGTCAGGGTAGTTGGTTGGTTCCGGGGATATTTCGGAATGAATTGGGACACCTAGTCCCAAAGTTGGAAGCTTAAGTTGAAAAAGTTGACCGGATATAGACATATGTGTAAACGACTTCGGAATGGAGTTTTGATGGTTTCGATAGTTCCGTGTGGTGGTAATTTTGTACTTAGGAGTGTCTCCGGATATTTATTTGGAGGTCCGTAGGAGAATTTTGGCTTGAAATGGTGAAAGTTGGAAAATTAGAAGTTTGGAGAGTTGAGAAGTTTGACCGAGAGTTGACTTTGTGGTTACCTGGATCGGATTTTGGTTTTGGAAAGTGGAATAGGTCCTTTGTGTCATTTATGATTTGTGTGCAAAATTTGAGGTTAATCGGAGTTGATTTGATAGGTTTCGGCATCGATTGTAGAAGTTGGAATTCATTAGTTTTCATTAGGCTTGAATTGGGGTGCGATTCATGTTTTTTATGTTGTTTGATTTGATTTGAGGTCTCGACTAAGTTTGTATCGTGTTTTAGGACTTGTTGGTATATTTGGTGAGGTCCTGGGGGCCTCGGGTGGATTTCAGATGGTTAACAAATTGATTTTTAAACTTAAGAAATGGTTGAGGAGTTCTGGACTGGTGTGATTGCACCTGCGAAACTCTTGGTTGCAGGTGCGAGGCCGAAGGAGCGTGGATGGCATCACAGAAGCGGATTTTGGCTTGGCTGAGGGGATGCGCAGGTGCGAGGTATTTTCCGCACCTACGAGAGCGCAGATGCGAGAAGGAGCGCAGGTGCGAAAGGCGATGGCCAACGTGTTCCGTAGAAGCGAAGCCCAGGTCACAGGTGCGACTCCGCAGGTGTGGAGTCCGGTCCGCAGAAGCGAAGGCAAGGCCTTCATGGGAAAATCGCAGAAGCGGAATTTGGCCGCACCTGCGGAATCGCAGAAGCGGTTAAGTGAACCACATGTGCGATATGTCTAGCAGAGTTATAATGTCGAGGGTTAAGCTATATTTCTTATTTTTAGACTTTGGAAGCTCGGGTTAAGGCGATTTTTGAGAGGGGTTTCGCATGATTTCTTGAGGTAAGCCACTTTTGACTATTTTTATTCAATAATACTGATTACCCATTGCATTTCCCACCTAGTTTATGTGTTTTTAAGGTGGAATTTTGGGAGTTTTGGGCTAGGGATTGGAGAGTAAGATTTGGGGATTTGAGTGACAATTTGGTGTTAGAATTTGGTAAATTTGGTATGATTGGACTCGTGGTTGAATGGATGTTCAAATTTTGTAACTTTTGTTGGATTCTGAGACGTGGACCCGAGGTTGACTTTTGAGTTTAGATTAAGAACTTAGAATTTTCAAATGGAATTAATTCCTATAGCTTGTGTTGATTGTATCGAGTTGTTTGTGGCTAGATTCAAGGCGTTCAGAGGCCGATTTGCGAGGCAATGGCTTATTGGAGTAGAGATTTGCACGGTTTGAGGTAAGTAATACTCTTAAACTTAGTTCTGAGGGTATGAATC